TTTTTTTCAATTGAAAAATTTGTTCGAAAAGTGAAACGTTTTGCAAGCAAGTTATATATCATCTGATAGGAAACTTCTCGTAGTATAAGAATATTAAAGCTTTGGTTGAGGATATAGTTTTGTGAATTTTTTAGTCGTTGAAGTTGGAAGTGAAGTCGGCGAAAATTAGCATCTTCGACAACTGCCTCTATTTACGTCTACTCGAAGTGCTAAAATCGCTTAAGCTGCTCCATACATTCGGAAAAGGTTGAGGTAGAAGTCTCAGCAAGGGAATCTCAATAGGACGCTTTGGAACTAATTTCAAGAATTTCAAAGTTGGCAACCTTCACCTTGCCAATATGGGCAGGCTCACTTGTTCCACCCTGAAATTTCATGCTAATAGTTGAATTAATTGAATTGAATTTGATATTCTAATACTACGAGAAGTTTGCTATTAAACGATATTAAGCTTGCTTGCAAAACGTTTTACTTTTGGAACAAATTTTTCGATTGAAAAAAACGGCCATTACTTATTAGCCAGCCCACTGCTAGTGGGCTGGCTAATAAGTAATGGCCGTTTTTTCTATTAAACCCTTTTGTTTCAAAAGTGGAAAGTTTTGCCAGCAAAGTCTTAACAATCGTTTTAATTAGTCAACTTCTCGTAGTAATTAAATTCAAATTCAATTAATTCAACTATTAGCATGAAATTTCTAAATAGAGGCAGTTGTCGAAGATGCTAATTTTCGCCGACTTCACTTCCAACTTCAACGACTAAAAAATTCACAAAAACTATATCCTCAACCAAAGCTTTTTTGATATTCTTATACTACGAGAAGTTTCCTATCAGATGATATATAACTTGCTTGCAAAACGTTTCACTTTTTCGAACAAATTTTTCAATTGAAAAAACGGCCATTACTTATTAGCCAACCTAATATTAATACTGAGCTGTCTGTGAAGAGAAAATGCCAAAGAGAACGTCGAAAGCACCTTTGAAAGAGCCCCTCGAGCCTCAAATAATTGTTGAAGGGTCAAAATACCACGCCTTGGGACGAGGGCCCGGCGAGGTTGAATCTCTTCTGCACAGGAACCCTATGACCCCAAAGAGTACAATGGATGCAAGCCCATTTCATGTTACCTTTGTTCCGCGGAGATACCGCTTTAGCTGGAAGCGGACTTTGAAGCCCCCAGGGTGCGGAGGCGGAAAACTTGGAAAAGGGAAGTGTTACCTGAAGCAGTTTTAACGCTAATCTCATTTACCTACCACTTTCTGCCCGCGAACTGGCACAAGGCTCTCTGATTCGGACCATACTATCCTTCTACACCACCTTTTTACATCTTCATAAGGCCATCGCGGCACCGTTCGCGGTGCGAGACCACCTTTCAAGAAAGGGTCGTAACGATAGCAGTAAACTTAACCAAACGCGCTAGTGTTCCTGATGCAGGGCCATCGTGGAGTCGTGGAAACAAGAAAGTGTCTAACGAGTTTCAGCGGGGGACTGCCTTTCTTAATAAAATAGTCGCAATCAAAGCCCTGAAGCAGAGGAGATAGGTGCGGGAGCGTGGTAGAGAAGTGGGCCTTGGGTTTGGTCACAAGGCATTCTCGACAATGATTGTCAGAGGGAGTCTTAAGCAATACATCTGAACGGACGTTGTCTAACGAAATTTATACTGCGACACAGAAAAGTATGAAGCTGATAAATGAGCCTAGATAGGAGTGGTTACAGAGGGTTGCGCCATCTGCTAAACTTTCGTGGGCAGAAATAAAGATGGATGAATCAGATAATGCGCAGTAAGCACGCCAATGCAACAAATCGTCCTAGGATATTGATTGGAGACAAACAGTGCGCTCAACTGCGAAGACGATGCTCGCCATGTGCGAGAGGAACTTGTCGGCAGCTGCACAAGTGTAACACTTTTGACCCTCCAAAACGCGCGAAAGAGCTGGAGAGTACGAGGATAGAAGCTGTTTTTGCGTCTTCAGGCCGACGCTACTCCTCAGTTGCAGCCGTTGAGTCGTACCATAGTCCCGCAGCGAATGTACGCAGTTGAAGTAGAGAATAATGCAAAAATGAAAGGATACATTAAGGGGCGTGGCGCCCCAGCATGTTATGTGTCTGCCCGCTTTGCCTCAGGGGGAGACACAAACGGGGCCGGCTACCACTCTGCCCCAGAGATTATTTTAGCGCATTACCGACTGACGTGAGTGTCACACTTCCACAGCTATCAACCTGTATTTTCTCACACACGGCAAGGATAAGAACCCATATAAAAGTGAGCGTACAGTTTGTCTTTAAAGGATTCACCTCAAGAAGACGAAGAAAAGCTTTGCAACCGAAAAAAGCGGCATGGATCCTGGGAAGAATGTGAGGGTCTAACTGTCCAATCCAACTACAGTGTTGCATATGAGCACTGTCCCTTCAATTTGGCCTTAATTTACGGACAGGGTAAGAGACTGCGAGGGATGATGCCAAGAACTCTCCGAGAAACGTGAATTTGTGAGAAGTGGGGGAGTTAACTGAAGAAGAATGGGCGGAGCCACAGCAGTGACAATTGGAGCAGCTTCACCAGGTTTTGCATGAGCATTAGTTATTGGACCAAATCAGGTAGAGTTCAACCAAGAAAACATGCAGTTAGAAGGAGCAATGTCTGGGCTATACCGGTGCAGAGGGAGAGCCACTAGCCCTACTGCGAGGTTCGATTCGACCTTTTTTGAAGGATGTGGGCTGCACTGTCATGTTGAAGGCAGACAGGTGGACAGATTTTCCATCTAATTAACGATTCGCTCGGATTTCCCAGCTGCTTTGTTCGGGGAATGACCGCGGGAGCAGCTTCTATACCCAGTAGCTCCACGAGCCGCAGCTCCTTCAAGCTGAGTTCACACTGACATCCAGTCATTGCCTCTGCTTCGAAGTGGTAGGCTGTCATTGTCTCCCACGACGCCAGTGCTCCAAATTTCTGAAGCTGGCGCCGCGGGAGACGGTCCGATTGGAGGCATCGTCATTATTCAGCTCCTTTATTTTAGCTTAGGCGGCTCTCATGGTTGAGCCAGGGTAAAAGAAACGAGTTCGAGGGAGGGGTACGAGGGTCTGCTGACGTACCGAACGCAGTTTTGTCCATTGCAAAAGAAGTAGGAGACGAGTGGTACGAATAAGAAGAGTTTCTAGAGTATTGCTGCTCACATAATCCATCAAACCTCTTCAAAGTATCGGCAAGTATTTTGAGTTTTGAAAATTATGACAGACTTTCTTGCCAACCTAGTTCGGGGTGAATCCCAGGAAGAGAAAATCCGCAACGGTCGGACATTTTTGAACGGTCTCATAATTTAGAATGGAACATTCAGTACATGTAATGAGCCTCCATCATTATCGAGGCTGAAATGAGAATCATTGTTCAGGCCCGTGAGAGAAACGCCTTGAAGACCACTGAGGGCAACTGCAAACGGGACAACCCGCAGCAAATCTTATAACCCTATTGGGATCGCGCTTATGAAGGAATCTCGGCGGTGATTTAATTTGGTTGCAATGTCCCGGGCTTCGTCAACGAAGCTAAGTTCCCTCCGGCAGCTGAGACCCACATTCACTCAATTTTTTGTGCGAGCTTTTATAAGAAATTGAGGAGCAAGAGAAACTATCTCGGCCCAATGTCCGGGCCGATTTCGAATTGCATTACCTGCGGCACGCAATCGACTCATTCATCCTAGTGAAATTTGTTGCGTAGGATCTGTTATACCATATCCAATGCAAAATTTGACAGAAAAATGCGCACTTCTAAAGGGATGATTCTGTAGGCACCCATATTTAGCCATCTTGTACGGACCACGTCACATCCATTAAATCACTGCGATTCTGAGTGGACAAAAAAGGGACTGATTGAAGACGAAACTCCAACTACTGTTTAAATCACCTTGAGGGAATTTTTTGCAAATCACGACCCCCTTCTTTGGCGGCGACAGAGAGGGTAGACATCCCGATCAAGGTGTGCATTACCTTGCGGGAAATTGCTCAGTCGGTGCGACACTCCTCCAGAAAGAAGTGTTTTCACAACCTCCCTCCCTCCAAGGACCAGACAGTTCTCTGACCATGAGTTCTCCGGCCTTTGGTTTACTTGTCGTATTTAGACAAAACTAAGTTAAAGATATGCTGTGGTTTCATCCATACTCAAATAATTTGTCTCGAATTTCCATCTCGGCGGAGATACCCTGCTCTATGGGAGGGCACAAAAAAAGGGGGGGGGGGCAGTGTTCCACCCACGTTGTCCCTGCTCATTGCACACCTGCATGTACCATTCCATCCTCCCTAAAGGCAGATCACATACGATCCATGGTCACGAGTGCTGCGACACACCAGTACCTCCGAGTAATTATCAGAAAGAGCAGTTTTGCTGCACCACCAACTAGGAGTGGGGTAGGACTCTCGTGAAACAAGAAAACCAACAGTGGGAAATTCTTTCCCGTGGCCAAATAGGCCCTGCCCTTTTGTGCTTCAAGCGACGGATTGTAGGTCTCATGGCACGTCGTACGTTAAGGACTTCCGGCGTGGAGGGTGGTATTCGGTAACTGTGCAGGGAACGGTTCGTATCGCCTTTGCGTAAAGCGTTTTCAGTTGAAGGATTTTCTCAGTTTTGCGTGTTTCAAGTGAGTATGTATCTCCTTCTTACCGGTTTTCCGGAATGTTTTTTTCAAAACTCCGGGAAACTGGTAGGAAGTTGTGAAGATTAAGGAGATGGTATCACAATGGAGAATGGGCAAAGGATAGGGTCGCAGCAGTCGGGGAAACTTTGAGGGGGAGGTCTACTTTGCAAAGATTTTGCGCGACGGCAAGACGAGCCTTGGAAGGCTGTCTAATGGTCAGATCGCAACAGAAGTGGGCTAATCAATAAGTATATGAAATTGACAAGTTAAAAATTGGGTGCCTACAAACACTGTCTAGTTTTGACTGTGCGGTGATAACGTTAAACCATTCTTATTTGCACACTCGACAGGTTACGGTGGGGTTCATTTACTAGTCTTCGTAGCTTGGATGTCAACCAGTGTTTCAGCCACTGACAAGCTTAGCTTTGTGCCATCGAAGAGTGTGAGTGCCTTTGGTTGCCAAAATCACTTATACTTTCTTTATTAGAGCAGAATGTCACCCGTTTTCCCAGATGATGAACTATTTCAGGTGACGTTTATGCCAAATGGATCCAAACAGATGGCTGAAATGACAATTACTAACGAGTCAGACAAGAGCGTTATGTTTAAAATGAAAAGCACCAGACCGGGAATGTTCAAGATGCGGCCAGTTTACGGAGCAGTACCTCCCGAATGATAAAGTGAGAGTTTACTCTGAACAATTCACGTTCGCTCAGACAGGTCCTTCACCGGGTATCATTATCAATGACTTATCCTGAAAAGTTATCGATGTCATATGTGGGCGCAGTTCGGCTTGGTGAGGGTACCATATGGTACTCAGCGGAGCCTGTTTACGCCACCATATTAAGACCTTCAAACTCCAGCTCCATACAAGTTGAGTTGAGTACAAGATCATTGTAGTATGCCGCGCTGGTGGGCATGGCAAGCGGCACTATGTTTCGCGGACGAGTTGTCCTACCTTACCATTTAATTTAGAGTGTTTAGGAAATAGGAAACTTGTGTAGCGTTCGCCATAGAGTCTTGTCTCCGCCTGATTCATGCGAGTTCCGCTGCTCCAACTTCAACCGAAACTAATGCACATCTGGGCTTTACCGCGCGTCGCCCCACGATACGCCGCGCGCGAACACGCGACAAACACCAGTTGTCCTCTGTTCTAATGTCGAAGTGTCAATCAACAGTTTAGCAAAAAGAACTAGCGAAAGTACAAGCTCCCGCGATAGTTAGTAGATAAGGAAAGACGTAGTGTAGCACGTTGTCGTAACTTTCCGCGTACTGTGTGCAACCAACAGTAAAAGTGGACCGCAAGGGGTAGCAAGACGATCTTGGCAGTCTGGAGGTCGGAACGTCCGTACCTCTCCACTGTTCCGTATCATTTTGCCCCCTTTCACGGGAAAGGGACTGACATGATCTGGTCTACTGTAGACACAAACACTTCATGTCAGCGGGCAGCGCCCTTATGTGACTATAGTGATTCCTTACGTGCCTTCTAATAGGTGGCGTACTGCATCGTGTATCTGCGCTAAATTAGCACTCAGCTCATAGGTGCTCCACTATGTTCAACCGTACCTGAGAAGCTTGTGAGTGATCTCATTCTTGGAATGGAATGCAGCGAATGATATGGACGATGAGTTGCATGGCAATGATAAGCAACCAGCGCAAGCGATAAGCATGATAGGGGCAAGCATAGCCGCAATCTGCTCCTCTGGATGGAAGGAGTAACGGCCCACTCACCGCCGACTGGGCGATTTACCAGTGCCACCAGTTTCACCTCCTTCCCGAAGCAAGGCAATCGTATAGTGCCGTTTCGGTGGGCGTGGCGAGCGACGCCGCGCTCGGCAGACGTGTTCCTGCCGGTTCGAAAGTGAGTATGAAGGGACAGGATAATTCGATATCGCTCGTCATGGATTATTGTCTTCGCTTGAATTCGCACGGGTTCCGCTGCTGCAACCAACAAAGGCATGCACATTTAGAATTTGCCGCGCATTGCCGCACGATACGCCGCATGCGAGTACGCGACAACGCTTGTCTTGTCCGTTTCCCCTCCCACCGTTGATAGTCAACCCTTCGACAGCACGAAGGCAACGCCAAGTCATCCGTTTTCTGAACCAGAATACATGACGCAGTGGATTCTGGCTCGGGACACGAAGCCAATGATTTCTCTCGTGCAGAGCTTTCATAAAGTAATCTTGGTATTCGCTGGCTCCTCAAGGGACTCAGTCGCTAATCATCGGTCCAGTGGTCATCGCAAAATAGCACGATGTGTTCAGAGCATCTGGTTTTCGATCCCTTGACAAAGGGGGGGGGTGGGTGGAGGTGGTGCGGAAATATGTTGTATAGTCACGTTTTTGACTCCTCGCTCTAGTTACAAAACTTTTGGCCATGTTAAAGGCAGTGGGCACGATGGCTGAGGGCGGGCGGTAGTCAACGACTAGTAGCCCCTCTACCAGTCGTCGACAACCGCCCGCCCTCAGCCATCGTGCCCACATCCCCTATGAGTGGGATGCGGCCGAACATCCACCAATGACGGTGACAATAACCGCCTGCTTCAAGAAATCGTGCCCACTGCCTGTAGGGCCATTGACTGCTCACTGTGCCACATTTTTTCAGACCACTGTTCGTCTTATTTTCAAAGGGCTCAAGCCAGGACAAGAAGCGCCAAGAAAAGAAAGGTTAGTGGATTTCAAAGGTAGTGACAATGGAGGGCAAGGAGACATATATCTTTCATCTCAC